CAAGGTAACGCTCATCTCCACTCGCTCGGTCTTTTGTCCGAGATAGTGTAAACTTTATTTTAAATAATTACCTTGTTACTGTTCTTTTAAATTTTTGGGGGGTACGCTGGTTGTCTGTCTGTGTGTGCGCAAAATACGGAAAAATGGTTGCTAGATATTCTATGGATAAGCGAATCACAAGAGAGAGAAGTAGAAAATTATTTTTTACAGAAGGAAGAAATATTCAAAGAGATGATCTGAAATATCTACCGCTGCAGAGAGACAATAGGCTAAGCAAACGTTTTCTGTAGGTCGGGGATAGATGTCGCCAGATAGCAGTCAACTGTGATAATACAAAGAAAGTTGGCTACGGATAATGTAACTTACAGTGTGTAGAGAATCTATCATAGCGAATCGATTAAAAATAGTTCCAATCTCCTTAGGATCCGTAAAGAGTGTCCAGAAAACCTGTTAGCTTTATGTACATTAGATGGTTTTTCCGTGGAAGCAGAGAAGTGCACAGCGTTTCTCAGCTATAGTGGCTACGAACGCCGACCGAAGGGCATTGCTTTGCATTGAATGAGCATTGCTTGGAGTTCAGAAATATTTTTAGACTTCTGGGAGTTTTTGCCTTGCATATTTATATTAGATTACGAACCTTACACATGAAAACAGAAAAACATCGAGAAGATGGCTTAGTTAGGCTCCCGAGCGCCGACCGAAGGGAGGCGTGAGCATTGTCTTCGATTTAAAAGTCACGAAAGGGCGTTCAGTAGCGCAGATCCAGGTTATTAAAGTCAAGGGACCGAGCGAGTGGAGATGAGCGTTACCTTGTAAAATTAATAAATATAATTAAATTTAAGTCGAGTTTTATATACAGAAAACTTATGAATGGTTTACGTTTTTTTTCCTTTTCTGTGCATTATTTCCTTTGGGTTTTTTCCAAGCATAAGTCAATAGAGCTGCGACAAATAGCGATTTTCTTTTCGATTCAGCATCGGGAACTAAGTCAATTGATGCATAATCAGTATAAAATTATTCAAGCTTTCATAAAGATATTTTTAATGTAATGTGGACACTTTTTCCAGAAGAATGTGGTAGTGACATTTTCTCGGATTCTTTGGAATATGTGGGAAACGATTAAATATTTCGAGCTGATTTATCAGGAGAGATATAACCTTTGAATGTTCACAAGTAGCACAAGTTTCAGGTTAAACAAATGCATTTTAAGAAGGATCTGGGCAAAACTAAAATGAAAGTGTTGTATAACACGCTTCTTTCGAAAAAATTATTTTGCCATTTTCTAATCAGTATCCTCCACTATAGAAGAAGAAACGGATATATATATTCGCAAAGATGCATTTCTTCGAATGAAATAATCACTTCGCAATTCAACAATGCAAGGTAATTCGTAATAATCTTTTTTAGATTTTGTTACGTTTCCCTAAAATTCTTAGAAAAAACAAGAGGGAAAACTCACTTAAAAAAGGACAAAAATGAGGAAAGCTAGGATGAACCGGACCCCAGCAGGGAACAAATTTGTTTTCCATTTTTCTCAAGTTCCAGTTTGAGCCAAAATTTAAAATATTAAGGTGCATCTAATGCAAAGTTACAGCAAAATGTTTTTCTAATCTACTATACATCGTTGGATAGAGCGTTGGATTCCGATATTTCTAACTCGTAATCTGAAAAAGTTCTTTTTTTTAATATCAGAAAGATGTATTTTGCATCTTATTTTCCCAAATTTCTACACTGATTCTACCAAGAAAACTGACAATTGCGAGCATGATTTGATATTATATATATTTACTGGAAGTTTCGTAGAAACTGAATATAAAATAACCATGTTTTTTCCACTGTAAAAGGTTGCTCTTAAGAGATAGTCCACGAGGGACAGAAAACGTACAATATGCTCAAAAATTAGATTTTGGTATAAGCTTTATTCTGTCAGAATACAAGCGGTAAAATACTTCATTACAAAACAGGAAAAAATTTGATTGCACAAATGCAAAAGCATTTTGTCAAACAGCTAGTTCAACTAAAAATCTAGAAATTCACGCATGCACAATCGAATACAAAAAGAATACGATTCTTGCCTTGGTGTTAGTCAGTGCAATAATATCGAATATAACAAACAAACTGATGGCAAAAAAAATCTAATGATGCTCTAACTATACAAATATGAAAATCGTGGAAAATTGGTGATGATAAAATATTTCGATGGTCTAATATCGATACTGTCAAAAATATAAATCCATTAACAAGTATTTTTACGCCGCCACACTTTGTATCATGGATAGCAGAAACTACTAAATGTGGTAAGCAGCGAGATACTTTCTAGTTTGATTTGTTTTTAATCTTCCTATCATTTTTCCTCAAATGCTAATAATTCGGACTCATATACCATTCCAAGCTCAGTATCTGACGATGATGCAGATGAAGAAGAAAAAGAAGATAATATTTCGTTGGCCATATTTGACTGACCTGAACCTGGTTGTATCCGATGCTTCATAAAACATAGTTATTTAATGCAACATATTACAATTAGAAAGCATCATATAAAATTAGAAAAAATGACTTAGGCTGATAAAAGTAAAGTTATATATAAACACAAGTCTGAATCGGTTCATTCATGTCCATTACCAAAATTACTCTATCAAGTAGTTCAAAGGACAATAACCACGACCAAGCGGCCATCATTAGAAGAAAATTGGGCAGCAGCAAAAACGAGAACCAGTATTTCATTTAATTTAAAGCAAAAAGATTTTTTAACAAAAAAATTTGATGATGGAATCCGAAGTGGTATGAAATATGATCCAGCTCGTGTTCCCGAAGAAATGCATACGAGTACAAGTAATGGCCAAGATGTACTTCGATCACGTTCAGCAACTGTAACATAAACAAAGACAACTAAACGTTAGCATTTTTTATCAAACTAGATCAGATTTTGTTCCTTGGCGTTCACTGTTTTTCAGAGTGATTATGCATGAGTTCCATAAGCCGCTTCGGTTTGCGGTGTTCAATCGCTTTCAAAAACATTCAGATCTATTTTCAAATATAAATGAGTATAGTATTTAGCGAGTAACGAAAATAACTCGCTATCAGACCATCCTTCTATAATGTAAAAACAACTAGTGTAAGTTTAATACTTAATTAGAAAACCGTCACTGATCACTAGTCTGATATCGGAGTATTATGAGAAATAGTTTGCTACAAAGAATAATTTGCAAATGCTAAACAAACCAACAGATTCATAGTCATGCTCAGGTTTTTGAGGCGTCTGCGAACACTGAAAAAAAATGATACCCTACGGAACTTATGAGGTTTAATAATGACCTTTTCGCATAGTGTTCCCAGTGAAAAAAAATGAGCGTGATTCCGCCAGTTCCTGCGGGAAAATATTTTTTCGTCGGGAGTTTCAATTTTTCCGCAGGAAATTTTCAGTTTTCGGCGGGGAAACGCTGATTCACGACGAAA